CATGAAAAATTTTGTCGAAATACTTACAATATGTGAATATCGCGCACACTCATATCCTTCCAAAGGTCTACAGTGACAAAGTACTATCAACACTAAAAAAAAACAGTTAATAGAAAGAGAGCAACAAATTACAATAATAGCATCAATTTAAGCAAAGAGAAGAGCTTCAACTAGGCCAAAGAATGCAAAAACATACCTCAATTGAATAAACAGACAGATGTCAATTCAGTTCGAACAATTCTGGTTTTATTCAGGTTTTTGCACGTGTGGGTGTCTTCTGAAATGTCATAGATGGCTTTGCATGAGTATCGTATTTCAACCTCATACACATTGCACTGATAGGCGTCTTTTTCGAGAAACGTGATTAAAAGAAACAAGTAAATATTGATACCTCTCGTTTAGAACTACGGCAGAAGAGACGAATCCTGATAAAAGAGAACAAAAACTACCCGATACGTTTTATCTACAGCTATGAAAGAATGCATCACAACGACAAAATTCGAGCATGTGACCATTTTCACACTCATCTCTCATGCTTCGCCTCATCTTCTTGTTAGTAATATCAATTCGACTTGTCAATACCCTTATCTGTGCCACTAACTGCAGTTTCTCCACTCAGATCGACAATATAACTATTCCATCTTGTACCGTTATCGATAAACCCACAACCGAGCATGGTTGCCAAGTTGAGTTAACAATTAACTACTTTTCTCGCTCGATCGTTGGACGCCTCAATGCTTTACCGTCTCCATATCGTTTTAACCTCTTAACAGATACCTTTTTTTCACTTTACGATGAAACATCCAATGTAACGATTGCTCTCGGCTGTTCGACGACAGACAACTGTGATTAAGACTTTGTCAAAGAAGTCCTGAGTGGTGATTGGTCCAAAGTTCGGAACGAAGTGATGAGTCTTAGAAAGAATATAAAGGATCTACTCTTTAATTCAAGTGATCTTCGACCTCATGAGATTTGCCCACCTCGTCAAAATTGTTCTGGCGCATGATTCTGTAGGACATTCTATGGAAATGTGTTCGACAACACAGTCCCCAAATTCGGAAGTACATGTGCAAGTTCTACAAATGAACCGTTCTTTGAATGAGCCAAAGTACTAAATCAAGAGTTGGTTTCTGAACATATATTCTATATTTGCAACAAACCTTTATGCGCTTCATTAAAAACAGTGCAACGCATCTTTGAAATGATTCAGCATGATTATGTCTTACCATTCAATGTGACCGTTCCACCAACAGTAGCATCAACATTCGCCTCTTCAATATCAATTTCAACAAAGAATGCAGCTAGACCGATACATTTGGATAAGACTGAAAAAATCTTTTTTGCGTTTTTCTCTGCGGTCTATGTATGTCTATTTGGCATTTAATGTGTCGCTCTTATTTTCTCTATAATAAGTAAAGCGTATCTTTAGCACTCTATACCAATATCGATCATGTTTTGAATATATTGAAACTTCGATGAACGAACTTTTTTCCTTGAGAAGATCTATTGCGATATTTTTATGTGCAAATCAATTAATGTCTATCAAAAATTCGCCAGCTTCGTGCCGACTAAAATCCACCTACAGACTTTGAAAATGCTTTTCGACTTGTGCGACGAAAAGAAGTTAAAATGATAACCAATAGATCAGTTTTTGACAAAGAGAAGTATTTATTCGCTAGCTTGCTCTCGTATTGCACAATATGCACTTCATGTGTCGACAATAATCACTCTCGATCCAAGTGAAAGTAACCCTGATCGATTGTTTTCTTTCATCAATAATTATTGAATTATTTGAGGAATTCATGATAAATCCTCGTTTAGTATGGGTGTGAGTGTAAGTGTATGTGTATTGGAAAAGAAGACACTTCCGCCCACACTCGTGCCCACCCCACATACTTCTAAATCAAAAGAAAATATTGAAATAGCTTATATAACTAACTCAGTAATAAGTATATGACGCCTTTGTTTTATTCATTGCGTACCAAAATTCATGTAGATCTATATTTTTGGTTGTTTCATAATGTGCTTCGTTATTTATTAAATTCTGAACGATTTATTTATCTAATTATAAGAAAAATAGAATATATCCCAATCATTGAAAATAATAATAAAACAAAAGACTTTGTTATCTTGCTATCTGATATATGATATGTTGTGTAATATGATTTGATGGATTCTAAAATGTAGAAAATATATTTACTGAGTTAACTAAGTCGAAGTGAACGTTTCTGGAAATGAAATACTTTGATTTGATCGTAGGGACTCATTTTTTTCCTCAGCTAACTGAAAATTCCTTTCTTTTTTGGAAGCACTTTTTTTCTAATAATAAGACTCTTTGTGGCAGCTTGGTAGTTCGCTTACTATCGTAGTATAGCAACTTTCACTGTGTTCTGCATCTATTGTTTAGGTAGATAAACTGACAAAATCATTCTTTTAAAAAAACACGCCATCATTGATTATTCCACAACAAACATACAGTCTCTCTTTTTCTTTTTAATAGGCGCAAAGTAAATCCTGCAGACACTCTTCTTGTTTATAAGATAAATGGAACATCGGTCGAGTGAATTATGGTTACTCAGATTTCGTTACTTGTATAAAATCGATATTTTCTATGCATTTAACAATTTAACTGCTCGTTGTCCAGAAATAATTAATTGAATCATACTGGCATGACATTGATCATACGTGATATTTCATCTATAAGACATATGAGTTTATTATGTTCTTTACATTATCTCAATTACGTTTGTATGTTAAAGGAAATTCCAAGGAACTGATACATGAATAAGATAATAGTTTTAACAAATAATTTGCCTGAAATATAAGATCTTATTTATTTACTACCAGTAATGATCAATCTTGAAGAATTACATTTATTGCCAACAACGTTTGATAATTTTGATCATATAAATTAATTGAAGGTGACAACATCATCAATTAAACTACGTCTAGAATTCGGTAGTTTTGAACAATTTTACCAAAGTAGTTGAAAACCAAAATTTCAAACATTAAAATAATTCTTGTAACTATTCAAGAACCAACTAGAACTGCTTACATTAATAATCATTACACGCGATGATAAACATCTTTCCAATCCTATTAAATTAGACACTTTAAAGAACAATTTTCCTTCTCTCAAAGCTTTTAAATATTTGATTCGTACGAATCAACAATGCTTGAGTGGCTGTGGGTGCGTGGATGGTTATAGGTGAAAATAATGAATTTGATGACATCCACATCTACGCTCCAAATTTATTTGCTTGTCTTTGTTGCTCATTATCATTTAACACCCCTTATATATATGGACCAAGTGCTCATATTTGAACTGGAATCTATTTTGAAGATGAACATAGATGCGTTCATTGTGATTCATATGAAAATCTTTGTGATTTTCCACTTGTTTATGAAAAAGGATGTGGTTGTATGTGGGCGGGTGTGGCTGTGGGGTGTGGAATGTTCGTGTATTCATGCTACTCTCGTCGATATCCATTCGTACACCCACATCTCACCCTTAAGAGTATGCTATTCTGAATATCAGTGACTATCATCAAGCTCTTAGTGAAAGTGTAATTGTGAGTCCTCCATTTGCTCACTTCCTTATCCTACCAATATGTTTTCTTCTATATGAATTTAATTGAATCTTTAGTTTCAATATCATACTTAGTTCAATGCTTCACTATCAAAGTTGCTTATTTCTATCATCTTGTAGCATTATTCATATGGGCAAAGTGCAACGAGGATATATTTTATAACTTTATGTATATCTTGTTGTGATGATTGAAAAATATCAGTTTTATGTCAATCGGTGTTTGACGAATTGACATGTTTCTTTTTTCTTTTTGATGTAAACCAACTTCAAATCTTTCAAAGATTAGAACAAAGTGTACTTGACTGCCGAGTTTTTATCATAAAATTAAGCATAACTGCTCATGTTCTTTCTTTATTGGCAATATTCATCAGTGACTTAAACAACAAGTCATGGATCATCAGTGCACATTCGTTAGAGATTGGAAGAAGAATAAAGCTTCTAGATTTCTTCGCATCATTGAGCGTTGACATTGTACTTCAACATTGTATCAATAAAACTTTTATTGATTTATTTATGTAACTAACAATCAAATAATTATTTTTAAAAGAAGTTTCTGTGATGTTACAAAAGAATATGATCAATCGTATTCAAGGTTGTATCCATGTCACCTAAAATGCAAACCAAATAACAAGTAGAGTATGTATGTATAGTGTGAACGATGAAAACCATCAGAACAACTACACCACACCTTCATAAATAGTTGTTCACGTATAATTGCCCTTGCAGTAAAATCCTTTCGAGTGAATGTTTTTGAAACATATAACCTTTGTATGAAAGTGATTCTCACGCCCGGTTATTGTTTTTTAAATATCTTATTACTGATATGTGGATTGAGGATGTGGGTCATTTATTAACTTCTACTCACATCGACAACCTCAACTAAAGAAATATATGATCAGTTTCGCAATAACTTGATTGCGAACCAAGAATGATTATTTGAATTTTCATCTTTTGGGTGCAGATGTAGACGTGAGCCTGCTCTTCATGAACACTCACACACAGACTGGATGTGGATGTTGTTGAAGATATGATCAACAGCGACACTGATACTGGTACTTACAGCCTAATTTATGTTCAGCTTCAAAGTAAAGCTTAAGAAATCGTGAAATATCCAATGAACAAAAAAGAGATATAAACTTAAAGATATACAGCAAACAGCTAGTCGAAAAAAAAAACAATGCACTTTTCCTTTAATTTACAGCTTGTCTGCGCGTTATGGAACGAGTTTTACTTTGAGATCTTCTTGTCGACATTGACAAGCTTTTTAATAAGCATTCGTTGAAAAAAAAAACAACTTTTCTTCTATATTTCACAAGTATTTACATTCATCAAAGCATATTGTTATTCTCCGACCATCGTTCATTCGTTCAAGCGACTTAATTGTGAATGGTATATGGTGTAAGATCAATATTTACTGCTCATGTTCAAAATTGGTTAATTTTTCCGGATTGAGCGCTGTACAACGAGTATTATTATTATTATATGTGCAAAATATTGATATTGATATCATATTTCCAACAGGATCTGTAGATGTTGATAAAAAAGTTGTTGTTATTATTGTGACAACTTTCTTGTAATTGGCTATAGGTTTCTCATCTAGAAGAACTGTACCACGATAAACTGTTATATTTCGAACAAGGAGTTGGTCTAATTTTGAATAATAAAAAAAGACTAGTAAAAGCTTCTGTATACTCTTATGTCTGAGTCAAAATTGAACAGTTCAATAACGTACCATAGAGCTTTAGTGAATGATATGTATTTATAGCTGAATGTTTATTTAGACGACGACTAAGTGATTGAGATCAGGTGTAGGCTTTGATGACCGGTAATGGACTGTCTTCCTGACGGGCTTCTTGGAAACGTTTCCTCTATCATATCTATTTTACCGGGTATACTCGAAGATAATTTTGCTTTCTGTAATTCCTGATGAAATCTTTTGGCTACTTTTATAGCATTATCATTTTCATCAATAGTAAAATGCCATTAACACTAGTCTAATCTATTTCATCGACGTAGAATATTGTGAAGGTCGTAAACACCATCAGAATTGATCTACCTGCGTAGTTTTTCCCAATTCAATTTGGGAGATGTGTCAGATATTGTACGAGGCAATTGTAATCGAGAGACATTTCTGTTTCTTGTAGTAACTTGGAACATTGTTACTAGCCAGCTCCAAATTGTTGACAACCACTTCCACACAGCCATTGTGATCCTTTGAAAATGTCTCAGCTATGTAGTAACTTTATGGGCACTTGAAAAAGTCTTGTTTCACGTTAAGAGGCACCTACAAAGGAGTTTCCATCTTTGGTAAGAAAAATATTTTGGCAAAAAGAGGCAGCCGTTAACAACGAAGAAAACGAAGTTCAACAAAAAGGCAAACACTAAAATCCTGAAGAAGCAGTTTTTAATGTATTTTGACTAAGAATTTTAACTTTGACTATCGGTAGTGTCAACTGCGAAGACGCGAACTTCATTTACAGTCATTTAATAAATGGTGTAAGAAGATGTTTGCTACTTTATTTACTTAACGTAGCTAAATCGTTGTTTTCACTAAGTTTGTTTGATGGGGAAAATGGATAGTCCAATAATACCGGAAGTGAGGACGGGTTGGAGGTCAGCTTTTACTCGACGTATTTTATGAATCACTCTAAACCTATGGAAGAAATGAATATTCAGGTGAGATAAATATTTATGTGGATTTCTATGACTATAATAATTTTATATACTTTGAAAACCCTGAATATAGAATAGAGGATCAATTTAGGAAGTTCATTCTAATATATGCACCCTATAAAATGCATAAGTTCTATCAGTTTCATCTAGATACTGTCTCAGCACAACTAGGAGTAGGACGTTTTCTTTACTTTAGCCGGTAAAGTAAAGTAACTCAACTATACTTCACTTTTTCAAAGTAAAATAAAGATTAAATGACACCCTTAGGCACAACGGATGGATTATATTTATTCAATGCATCCTTCACTGAACCGCAATACTGTTTACTACCGAATATGAATCGATTTTCTCATCGATAAGTATGGATTGGTAACTCGAAAAAGACCCAAAATCAACAATGCACACAATGATACTAATGTGATTTAATCATATACTATTCATATATAATGCAAGGTAGGGATACTACGTAGTATAAATTATTCACGCACTGTTAATGAATAAGAGTGTTAACGCTACATTAATAGCACCATCGACGTTTTCATTTCATCGATTGGTATTTTATGTAGCTGAGAGTAACATATATCTTTAAACTACTTCCTTTAGTCTGGAAGAAAGAATTCGAGGTGGTTGGATTAGCGTTAAAGAAAACATTTATAGTTATTACTCATTCTTACAAGTAGGTATATGCATAAGACCACAATCTGTTTATTATTGTACGATTGAACTCTATGCATAGTTTGATGCAGAATTTTATGGTGAATCGTTTTGCGATCATATCAAATCAAGTTAATGATATCTAAAGTAATATGCGATAAAAAATACTACTTTTGGTTTTTCATCGTCCAAGTAGTCATCAATATCGTGAAATATCTTTCCAATAACTTTGCACAACAATATTACTTCTATTTTTCGATTGTTATCATCGAAGGAAACATTAAATTCTGCATCAAATACTGTAAGTGAAAACTTATTGAAAAACTTGGCCATTGAGTGGTGTGTTAACTAGAAATTTAGTTCTACTGAGTGACCTGTTGACTAATAGAGATCTAGGGACTTGCGCTGCAATAAACCTGTATATACCAATCGATGATGCTTTTCAAAAGCTACCAAATTATATATTTTTCAAAGTCAAAGAACACTGATCAACTAATTTACATCATGTTCTAGACATAGCTTTATGTCTTTTTGATTGGTATTTAGCAAATTTCTTAGTCAGAATATTACTATTGGTACTGCAACTAATAAGAGATTTGAAATTAACACCGAAAACTGAGTCGATCCGATGTATTTCAAATAATTTCGCGAACTTCTTTTTACATTTCATCGAATCCGCTATTTCATGGTGTAGGCGTGGAGTGTGGATACAGGTGTTGATCATTTCTTCAACAACATCCGCATCTCACATCCACATCTTTTAGTGCCTTCTGCTCTATAGGAAATTAGGTAGAACCTCATGTAAGCCACTTTGTTAAATAGGTCAAATTCTCTGTCTCATACAAGTTTCGATGTCATCTAATGACATGAGTGGAGTGAAAGGGTGGGTGTGGATGTGGGTGTGATTATAGAGATAAATAGCAACCACACTCACACCCACACTCACACCCACACCCACACCCACACCCACACCACCCACACCCACATCCACCCACACCCACACACCCACACACCCGCACCCACCCACACCCGCACCCACCCACACCCACACCCACCCATACTCC